AATTAACGAAGCAACTCTCCTGTCAGTGTTTAACTGTGTTATCAAACAGGCCTTGCCTTTTACACTCTTTTAGTCTGTCCAGTATTTTTGTAGGAACATGTCTGAACAAAAACCATAAACGCAGATGAGTAATCACCTGTTATTGGAACGTTCATAAAATATTAAAAGAATCGATGAAAAACTCAAAGTTGTATCATTGTCTATTGGATAGTCAAAGGTTGTATCTATTGGTGGTAACAATCATCGAGAAAAATATCAATGCCGTTGTCATTATTTTTTTGCGAGACCACGTTCTTGTTTTTGTTTTTATCAAACCCTGCTCAGGCATACCTCCAGATAATATAACTGTAGCGCAATGAAGGACTGTGACAAATATTGGATTGGTACATCATATTATTTTAATTTCATTTGCAGTAATTGCATATATATTTTACTGAGTTTGTATTAAGTTACACCTGAAAAGTTATAATACAATCTTGTATTTAATTGTGGCTAAATCTATTACAGACTCAAGCTTTCTAAATGTTGATGTTTTTATGGTAAACTTCGTGGATGTTCAAGTATTCAAGACAAAGAAAAACTGATTTAGGATGGTCAGTTCAATTTTTTGTTCAACCCAAATTCTACTGATAGATGAAGCAAAGTAATGTAAAAATGGTAAATCTAATTATATTTTCTATAAGATAAATATTTAATGTAATATATTCTTTCAACAAAAATTAAAACTTTAAACATGTAATTAAAATCTTTTAAATCAAAACTCACGAACATTATCACAGCAGTTTCCTGATGTAAGGCTTAAAAACCAGAAACAAAACATATTATAAATTCAATCCCAAGTATGTTTTTTGGAACACAGTTTTTTTTAAATTTACGAAATGCTTGTTTTTTTTACGCAAATGAGAGGTAAATCGTTTGTAATTGTTAGGTAAATCTAAAATCCACATTCATATTACAAAATGATTTTAAACTCTACATTCCAAATAGTGACCAAATGTTTGGATTTATTCGTTAAATACCTGAGTAGAGACGGGAAAAAAATTAAATTTCCTCTCGAACCTCAAGAGACTACCGCTCGCATAAATGTTACGTGTTTGGTCAACCGAAGTAAGACAGAAAATGGTATAGTTGCTGTAAACAAAGGAAGCTAACTCATAACGGTGTAAATTACATTTTACACTGAAGTTTATATTTTTTAATTGGGTTTCTTGTATCTTAATACATTTTTGCTGAGCTGGAGAATAGTTAAAACTTGTCTGGTAGATTAAACCTATTTGATTACTAGTAGTTGGATTAAGTTAGTTTGAAATTCAATTCAGTCTAGACAAACTTTGAGAGAATGGTTAGCCAACTGAAATCCAATAGATTTTGTATTGGATCAGATCCAAAGCTATCCCCAACTAACCTTGGGCAACAGTGTAGGGACCGTAGCCAGTAAATTTAGTGCATGACTTAAAGAAGTCAAAACCCACTCGAACTAGCCTAACATAACTTATCGTTACTGTAGTTTTTTTGTCCTAGGACGCTAGGCACGAGCCCGGAATTGTTTTTCACATTACTTCAGGCTAGACCTAGGGGTTACGGCAATACCACTTGGATGAAATCCATTGGTGATTTGGCGGGGTGACCCGAGGAACCGGAGTCCCGCGCTCTAACCACTAGACCAGCTCGCTCCCCCCGTCGTTACCGTAGTAGAAAGATTGGAGTACCTAAGATATCTAAATTTGAGAGAAATTAAATAAATAAACTATTTAATTACACATAACAGAGTTAACCATCGTGAAGCCAGAAGATTGGTCGAATTAGGTTAGGTTTGGTCGTGCTCCAACCCAAACTAAAGATAGCCTTTATATTTCCTAAGTGACAAGTCTTTACAGAACAACTTCTTATATTAGCTTGAACTCAGATTGCATGAAATGCGTTTGCATAAAATGCCTATAGTAGATATAATATACAACGTTAACCTAATAGAGCCTTTAAAGCAGTAGAGCATAAAATATACACACAGTGGGTACATAATCTCTTGATGAAATAGTTCTCTAAAATTTTATGTTTCAAATTAAAATTTTCCAAAAAGGAGTAAATATTTTGAAATCTGGAGATTTACGAGCGCAATCTGGGTCAGAGTCATCAGAGCAAAGTAATGAGGAGGGGAAGGTAAGTAGAGCGTGCTCGTGTTTTCAACACTCTCTCCCTCTCCCTCCCCTCTCCCTCCCAACATCCCCCCAGTCACTCGTCATACGTCACGATCTATGTTAACTCTTTCACCCAAACCCAACCTTACTCAACCTTAAACATCAAACAACTCTCCAGATCGAATATTGTAAACAAATATAAACACAATATACTAATCCAACTTGATCTTGTAGCTTGTTAATTTATACGCGAATTATGATGAGAATGCAATACATTTTCATTATGTATGTAGGCCTACACGTATTTATTTTGACGTTTAGACGTGTGCAAGCTTTGGTAGTTCTGCACTTGCTACGAAAATTCAGCATTTGGTTGATAAAAAAATTTGGACTTTAGACAAAGGGTTTGTTATTAAAGTGGCCCAATGGCTGAACAAAACAATTGTTTTTTAGACTGAATATTTTTTTGGAACAAGCTAATAGCCTATTATCTGAGAGTTTATGTAAGTTGTACAAATCCGTATTTGCAACCAGTAATTTTCATCCCCTCGACTACTAACCAAACATAAAAATAAAAAATAAAGTTAAGTTATATAGTTAAGTGAGTATAAGTTTTAGCAATTATAAAGTGTTGTAACAGAGGGACACATTTGAATTGGTTACTGTACTTTCAAAAACAAAATTATCATTATTTAATGAAAGAACACAGACAAATGAACCTGATTAAAATAAATAACAATCAATATGGTATCGAGGTCAGTAAGTAACTTCAATCTCCAACCTCAATAAACCCAAAGGTTAAGTAAAGGCTAGGTTAAGTTTACTCATAGTTCAATATGAGGTTAGAAATGCCATGAAGTATTGATTTAATGAATTTGATGGGGAAGTTATACCTATCAGATAAGTAGAAAATTGGTTTAGGGGTTTATTGAAGAGCAAAAGATTTATTACATTTAATCTTGCTGAAACAGTGAACGCGATAGAAGGTAAGACACTTTGGGTGAACACAAAATTATTTAGAATTGTATATTTTATTTATATTTATCATATTTTAAAATAAACCATTGATTAAAGTAAAATATAACACGCTAACAAATATTCTTCCAACTATTATCAACGTGTATAGAAAAATTTATTTTCCTGCGTAGAACTCATAACATTGATATACGTTTTATAAAGTTCAGCTCTGAAGGCAAAACTTGAATACTATATCGATAAAAAAGTAAGCTTAACTCTACATTGTTTTCCTGTATAAAAAACTAAAACGTTACATTTTATCTCAAGAATTTGTTACTTATTGCGAACTGAACTTTCAATTGAGAAAGGAGATAATTTAAACAAATTACTTCGTGTTCCTTTGCAGCCCGGTCTAAACTCAATTACCATTTGACTGCAGATAACAAATTAACATCGTATTTCAAGAGTAATCGTGTTAAGTAATAGGAATTAAGTCTGCCTCTAGCGTCGCCTTTAAGTAATATTTCAGACGAATTTTCCGCTTAATAGTTTATTAAAACTTAACCTTTGAAAATTTGCATAAATTATATTGTAAAAGGAATGCTTAACTAGATTTGGGAATCAATTATGTATAATTTGATATAAAAATTTAGTTGGATAAGTAACCCTTTCTAGTTTAAGAAAATCATAAATTAAAACACAGGAAAATAACTAATTTTCCATATTTATGATGCGTTTGATTTGGGGTGATGGTAAAACCGTTGAGGTGGTGGTGAAATTAATAAATTATATTGTAATATTGTATAAAATTACTTTTCCATTATTTTTATTTCAATTTTGCTCATAATAATACAAATCAAAGAGAAATATATTTGATTTAGTTTGAGTGTATAAAGGCAAATCAGGTAATCAAAGGAATATGTACATTAATCGTTAGGAGTTGATAGTCATGAAATATATTTGTACTAATGTTGGCCTACAGTTACAGGCTAAAGAAATAGTTTTTTTTAATAGTAGATTTTTATATTTATTGATCTGTGTTGTTGTTATTTGATAAAAATTTTAATGTAAAACAAATACAGAAATATAAATACTAGCTAAATAACCATTTGATAAGTAAACAACTCGAATCTTAATAATAATTTAAGCTATAGGCTTATAAAATATTAAATGAATTATAAATTTGAAAATGTAATCCTAACTTCAAGAATAAAGAATTTTTTTTATTTTTTTAAAGTTACATAAATGACACAAAGGTAATGAAAGTTCAAGGAACACATTCATCCAATTGCTTTAATATTTAAGTTGTCCAACTCACTTTTCTCAATCCCCCTGTCTCTTTTATGCTTGGAGACTGTTCTGACGGTAACAAAATTGGTTGCATGGAAAAAATTATAAACTAGCTTCACAATTATACACGTAAGCTATTCAAATTTTATCAAATTAAATAGAGCTAACTTTTAATGGTCAATTTGTCATAACCATAAATAAAATCTTATGGCTAAAGTAACCGCATTAGAAAAATATAATAGTTTGGGTTTTACGAATATATTATTAGTATTTTACAGATATACTGGATTATCAACCATTATAACTATCCTTGACTACTGACAAGTCCATTTGCGATCACTAATGCTTGAACGTACATTTGACTAATACTATAGCTATTTACTGGACAATATTGACAGACAGTATTGATATCTGACTTACGTTATTGCTATTTTTGACTGTAATAATGTTAGACTCACGGAATTGATATTTGACTCACAGTATTGATATTTGACTAACACAATTGATATTTGACTCACAAAATTGATATTTGACTCACAAAATTGATGTTTGGCTCACAAAATTGACATTCGACTCACAATATTGACATTTGACTTACAATATTGACATTCGACTCACCGGCAGGCAGGAGCAGGAAGGACCAGCTCCAGACAGACCACCCACTCATAGCGACTCCATCCTGCAATACAACATGTCCTTAAGGAATGATGTCAGACTTAACATAATCAATTCTAATTTTATTTCAAAATATGTAAATTTTAGCCAATCTTTTCATAGATTTAATTATTTTGAATCAGTAATTTTGCGTTATAGAAGACAGACCTCACCTCTCCTCAGTATTAAATGGAAAAAAATATAATAAACTTTAATAAAATAAACACCTTTTTGAAAACTGTCTTTAATACGTTGTATAGTGTATATGTAAGGTGATCAGTATCTTGGCTACATTAAATTGAAATACATTCGAAGCGAGGCATCAAGTAAAAGTGATGCAAAGAATTGAGAATTTGGAGGTAAATGGGTCTTTACTTGAACGTTAGGGAACCTTTGATGTTCATGAAAAGAAATCCTTCTGGCGATTTCCCTCGAGTAATAACATTTTTTCAATATTTCTTGTGATAAAATAGAATATAGTTCACTTATTGTTTATATTTTAACTGGGTTGATGTGTATTGTTATGGGAAATTTCAACCCTATAACTTCCATATGAACATTTTCGTATGTAAAGGATGTAAATTATTTCACATTATTATTATAGTAAAAATGAAATAATATTTTAAACTATATAAGTTTTTTTAGTTAATGAGTCAATGAGTTGTACTCAATGATTATAATTCATTTTGGAGACGTAATATTTACCTTAACTTGTAAAATACGGTTCTTAGAGATTACCATGAAACCACATAAACAGCTCCAGATGGTTTGTGATGTTAAACGCGAGAATTATTTTTAAACCGGTGAATATAAACAAACATGAAACATGAACATAAGCGAATACCGGGTATAAAAACAGGGGTTAATTAATTTTGTATCCCTGGTGTTATTAGTGACAATGGCCCGGCTGGGGTAATTATATTAGTTACTCAGGGGCAGCTTTAAACAGGCTCTGTTTTATATTTGACCTGAACACATATAAAACTCTATTGCACAAGTAATACTATCTACTGTAGCTTAGCTATTTAGTTGAATAATTTAGTTTGAGTTTATAGCTTTCGTTGACGTTTTTTATCACATAGGCTACAGGGCCACCAACTTTACTGTGCCACCAATGGTTCTAAGAACTTATTAGAGTTGGAGATAAAATTAAATAGAGTACTTAAATTATTTTCCTATAAAATAAAAAAATAAGTTCCACTGTTTCAAAAATGACTGCCATTTTCCGATATGCTGACTTAGATATTCTAATAGAAAACCTTGTATTTTATGGTTGTTTTATATTGGGAATGCAATTTTAAAGTGTTATTATTCTCTATATTTTTTCCTTACAGCTACTAATTTAGGAGCTAAAAGATATACTACTTTCACGTATGTTTAACCACAGACAATAAACCATTAATAGTTTGTGGTTTAACGTAATAAAAAAATCTGCATAGAAAAAAGTGAGTAATAAATGAGTAAACATTCTTTAAATAGTTAATGGAATTTTGAACAAATTAACAATAAAAGTATTCACTACGATTGACTAAACAACTACTTTTATATTCTATGATGAGTACTTGATACAGATAAAATCCACCCATACAATTATTTATATTCTTTAATTTCATTGAAGAATTTACTTGTGAACCATCTTCACCATACCACGTGTTTTCCGTACCTGATATTTCACCCCTTCCTCCACCATTCTACCCCTGCTCACCCCAACTCTTAACACTATCTTGTCTTTAAAGCTTCTCGTGAACTCCTTCTTGATTGTTTTATCCACCTAATAGACAATCGACCAAGTGATTTTGAAACCCCACAAAACCACTTATCCTCGTCACTTAAAGACATCGTTGGAGATCTTTATTGCTTTTTTAAAGCGGATAGACGGGTCGATTCTATAAATCTTGTTGGTTATCGTCGTTTCTTATGAGTACAAATTGTGTATTTTCCTATCATACTCTGGGTATGTAAATAGTCTGGGGACCCCTTTTTAACTCGTAACGACAATGTCTAGCAATCCAAACATAGTACTTTTCAAAAATTGTAATACACTTTTTGAGCTAAAATTACCAACATTAATTTTGACCAACCTTGTTAATTTTCGAACATCTAAGTACTTTCGGAACAGCAAGAGCTATTCCAATGGAAACCAACTTTATAAAATATCAAGAGAAATAAGCTAGAATATCGGTATAAAATAACAGCCATTTTAAAATTAAAATTTTTAAGTATTTACCTTTAATCAGTACTAAACATTTGGATAAAATCAGCAGTATTTTTTTATAGGAAACGTTTATAAAAAGTGTGTATAAAACTCTTCTTTAGATACTTATTGAGATACTAAACCTAGTATACCATGAAATAATATCACAATCATATTCGGTTTCCGGCATAAAATTTCTTCAATTATTGCCAAAAAATGAAATAATGGTATATTTAATTTGTCAATGATTATTGTATATTTTATCTAAAGTGAAAACTCACCAATTCCTTATGTTTTCAATGGTTCTTTTCAGGCACAGCCTCATGGAAAATCCTGGAAAAAATACAACAGTTATATCAAAGATATTTATTACATGCTATTTAACAAATACAGGGTGATTGATATAAGTGTGCCAGCCGTTTTATTCGAAAACCATAAGAGATATCAAAAAAAGTTAAATCGTAAGTGTCTTGGACTTTTTATTTAAAAAATTGTAGTAAAGTCGAAAAAATTATTTTAGCCACCATTTTTCCAATATGGCCGCCAACTTTGATTTTTCTTATGGAACACCCTATATTATATGATGTATGATGTATGATTATACCCTTATTTTATAATGTATTCTGGTAGAAAACGTAATTTTAAGACGATTTTATTCTTGTGATTTTTTCATAAACCTAACCGTTTCAAAGATAATAATGGTTTAAGTTGTGAAATTTTGAATGGTTTTCGAAAAAAAAACAGCTGGCATGCTTGCTTAGGCCTTTATTGAAACTCTTTCTCGTGCAGAAATTTCAAAACTTTAACCATTATTATCTTTGAAACGGTTAGGTTTATGAAAAAAATTACAAGAATAAAATCGTCTTAAAATTACATTTTCTACCAGAAAACATCATAAAATACAGGGTGTTCTATAAGAAAAATCAATGTTGGCGGCCATATTGGAAAAATGAATGCTGAAATATTTTTTTTTTACTTGACTACGATTTATTAAATAAAAAATCCAAGGCACTTACACTTTAACATTTTTTGATATCTCTTATAGTTTTCGAATAAAACGGCTGGCACACTTATAACAATCACCCTGTATACAGGGTGATCAACTCAAGGAGGCCACCATTGGGATATCGGAAACGGTAAGAATTAGAGAAAACTTTAAATGGGGGACATTCCTTTATTTTTTGTGACAGTTAAAAATATGATTTTAGTTTTTCAAAATTCAGCCACCATTTTCCAAAATGGCGGCCAACTTTGAAATTTCTTATGGAACACCCTGTATTTTATCATGTTTTCGGATAGAACATGCAATTTAAAAACTTTTTATTCTTGACATTTTTTCGATAAACCCACTCGTTTAGGAGTTACAGCCTATGGAAAAAAGGCTTCCGGTGTACATTTACATCATGTAGCTCCAAAAAAAGTAGGTTTATAGCGAAAATGCGAGGAGAAAATAAGTCAAATAAGTCTTAAAATTGCATCCACATTCCAAAAAGTTCATAAAATTCGTTAAAAATATTAATTCTATTATATAAAAATGGCGGCCATTTTCCAAAATGGCGGCAAACTTGAAAAGTGGAAAACTGTGTATTTTATGGACTTTTTGGAATGTGGATGCAATTTTAAGACTTATTTGACTTGTTTTCTCCTCGCATTTTCGCTATAAACCTGCTTTTTTGGAGCTACTTGATGTAAAATGTACACCGGAAGCAATTTTTCCATAGGCTGTAACTCCTAAACGAGTGGGTTTATCGAAAAAATGTCAAGAATAAAAAGTTTTTAAATTGCATGTTCTATCCGAAAACATGATAAAATACAGGGTGTTCCATAAGAAATTTCAAAGTTGGCCGCCATTTTGGAAAATGGTGGCTGAATTTTGAAAAACTAAAATCATATTTTTAACTGTCACAAAAAATAAAGGAATGTCCCCCATTTAAAGTTTTCTCTAATTCTTACCGTTTCCGATATCCCAATGGTGGCCTCCTTGAGTTGATCACCCTGTATATTCGGACCTCTTTTACATTTTTATTGTACATTCAAATGGACAATAAATTCAATGTTCCTATAGAAAAAGTATAAAATATGATATAGGGGGTTATATATATACTCTTTTGTTAACGAAGACAATAATTGTTAAAAATAAATTTTTGAACTGTAGTGTTTTAAATAAAACTTACCAAAATATGTTTAAAAAATAATATTTTAAGATCTTTAAAGATTCATAGAATCTTCTATCAATATTTGATTGAAAACACACAACCAAGGACACGAAATAAAGTCACTGATTTATTCTAACTATAAAACAATAAATAGAATATTGTCATTGCAATTAAAGGAGTACGTGAAAGCATTCAACGCCTTGCGTCATTATCGTAACAAGTAAGTTGAACAAAATAACTGGAAGTTTCCACATTCATCGCTTTGTCTTTATAAGTGAACAGATTGAATCAAGCAACCTGAGAGTCGATTGTTTAAGCTTTAGCGCTCAACTTGGCAAATCAAACTCCTAACTTACTACGTGATTTCTCTCTGATTTAGGCCTGATAACTTCCCCCAGTTACTTGGGTAGAATGCGAAATAGATTATCTAAAATTGCACGTCTGGAAGATAGATATATTACATAAGTGCAATAAGCGTAAATTAAATAGCTTGGTGGCTGAATGAATATAGCTTTTGTGTGGTGATTATTAGGTTTACGGTTCATTCATGAGAAAAGTAAAATATTTTTCCTACAAAAATATTCAAAACAAAAAATCCCAATTTTTTAAAGTACCGTTTAGTAGAGCTTAAAAAATAATTTAGTATATTGAAGGGGTTGTTTACGGTTATTTGTCACGAAAAAAATTACAAAATTTAAAATTACCATGCTACTCTTATAGGGAGTAAGTAAACTGTTGTATTTTGCTTGTTTACGGATATATTTTGATCAAACTTGGCAAATTAACTTATTTTATACTAAGCTATTGATATTCTACCAATAAACCCACTGTATTACCCTTCCTGTAGCAGCAAACCTAGGTATACTTGTTAAACATAATGTTATTTAAAATGATTTAATTGAAAATCCAATTGGGCGAATGGAAATTCAGTTAGTCTGCAGGTTTGCTGCGGCGGAGGTATTTAATTATTAAAGTACAACTTATCGTTATTGGGTTCGAGGGATTTATCGGTATGATATTATAAACTTACGTAAGACATGCCAGATAATTATGTAACAATTTTGAGTAAAAAAGGCTGGGGATTTTTAATCATTTTTACCGGATTTATAGTATATTACATTATATTATACTATACGTTTTTTTCCTCGCTAAACGGTGCCTCACAGTGCTTGTAATATAAGGGTTGCGTATAAAAATCACCCTGTATATATTATGTTAGTAGAATTAAATCAAATTTTCAAAACCAAACAAATACTGTTGTAAAAAATTAATGGAACTTGGTGCAATTTGTAAGATGTATTAGTATTGGTAGGCTTGTAAAAACTTTACTACACCATTATAAACGTTTCGTAAAAACAAACTTATACAGTTTCATTAGTCAACCATGAGTCAGTTCTATGTCGTATAGAATAAATAAAGAGTAAATCTAAGAAAGAGTTAAGATACATGCATCTTTAAAAAAAAACAACTTATACAGCCCTTTTATAAAAAGGAAATCAAAGTAATAAATTTCTGTCGTAATAAAATAACGTACAAATCATAGCCAATTATTTTTGTACACGTTAACATGGCGGGTGACTTGTATGTCGCAGTATATGAGAGACGGTGTTAACCATATTTTATTGCCCTTATTCCCTGGGGTAGGGTCCGACACAGTTTACGACTGAAGACTAACCTTGCCAATAAAGCTTGGACGAGTTCCAAGACATCGCGTATACATTTTAAACACATTCTAGATAATAGAACAATATTACTAGGTATATTTGCCAAGATAAAAAACAGGGTTTGAAATTTCTTTGGAAAATTATCGAGTTATGTTAAAAAAAGGTTGGTCAGTATTTTTATTCTAATTATAGCGTTATAGTCAATAATCTCAAATTATAAATAATTTGATAGCAAAGCTTAATGATCATAAAACAATATTGCTATTGCTGAAGGGAACCTAACACATGCCTATTATTTAAGCTTTGATAAAAGAGCCAACCTGATTAAAGTAATTGTATATAAATTGAGATTCATATAAGCTTAAATAAGTTTACAATGTGTTTAGTAATATTGTTTAGGCTTATATGAATGGCTTAAGGGAACAGTGAATTTATTATTAAAATGGTAATTCCATTGGGTTATATCACGGGTATCTTTAAGGTAAAGAGCCGTTATTAAAAAATTATCTGTTCCATTTACTTTGTTATTAAAAGCATTTACGTAACATTCAGTTCAATGCAATTCTATTTTTTTATCATTGTTTATGGAATATAACAATAAACTATTAAAATAAGCGAACAAGACACACGAATAATTGGTTATTTGAACATTTGAAACAGGGGTGGATGCTTCTAGGTGTCGAATAAGGCAAATCAAACCGAGAAATACAATAAACACATTTGAAACATACAAAATCGATTTCTTCCTACCAGGATCTTTAGTGGGTGTGTTGATGCCTAGTGGTGTCTTGGACTTGGGTGCTGGAGGCACAGGTTCGATTCCCGGCACATCCACTAAACTCTTATAGGTTTGGACAGCTTTTCCTTGATTTTTTTGAATTATCATTAATTAACAATGCCACTTGCTTAGACACAAGGAAAAACGCCCAATAAACATTTATATTAAACCATGTGAATATGTGTGTTCCCAATACATTACAACCTGATGGTAACTTCCTTACATTGAACTTTTTAAATGAAGCAAATAAGGTTAAAAATATCATTAGGTACACTACAATGTATTCACATATAACAAAATTAAATTAGGAAATGTATACTACCCGTGGTTAAATCAAATTATGATGTGATAATCTAACGAAACTTCATGACTAAAATCTTGTCATTCCACCAAATTACCAATACAGCTTCACAAGGTAGTTGGCTATACAATGCTCTAGACTTGCCAATTACAAAGATGGCCCTTAGCTTATCGTATAATCTTAGCCCAAGTTTGCCCAACTTACGATGAACTAGGAACTTATCGTTATTGATTACGTGAGGGCTTGAAGTCTTACGTGATGAGCTTAAGGTTTAAAGCAATAACTACAGGCATCTTTCAATCTTAAGGTCCACGGATAAGATTTTAAAGAACATTTAAAAAAATAGTTTCCACGTTATCAGAATAAACAAAAATTAAACATTCACTTTTTAAACTGATTTACTCTTAGAAAGGGCAAATGTATTGTGATTGTCG